AGCTCACAGCAACCTCTAACTCTTGGGCTTAAGCAATTCTTTTGCCTCAGCCTGCCAAGTAGCTGGGACTGCAGGCACCACCACACTGCAGGCTATTTTGTTGTTGTTGTTGCTGCTGCAGTTGTCATTGTTTTAGTTGGCCCAGGCTGGATTTGAACCCGCAGCCTCAGTGTACGTGGTTGGCACGCTACCCACTGAGCTACGGGAGCTGTCCTCCAATTTTATCTTTTATTTTATTTTATTTTTTTAGAGACAGAGTCTCACTTTATCACCCTCGGTAGAATGCTGTGGCATCACAGCTCACCGCAACCTCCAGCTCTTGAGCTTAGGTGATTCTCTTGCCTCAGCCTCCACAAGGACTACAGGCTAGGACTATAGGCGCCTGGCACAACACATGGCTATTTTTTGTTGCAGTTTGGCCAGGGTCAGGTTTGAACCCGCTACCCTCAGTATATGAGGCTGGCGCCAAACCCACTGAGCTCACAGGTGCCGCCCCCTCCAATTTTATTTTTAAAATAGAAAAGATCTAAAGGAAATACACTAAAAACAGTGGTTAATGTGGGTGGTAGATTTATATCTTATGTTTACTTCCTCAGTCTTCCATGTGTTTTCTACAGTGAGCACATATTTCTTTAATGTGTACTATTTCTTTTTTATTATAGTATAAGTCAGATATATTTTATCTTCTGGAAAAAACTTGCTCATGATCTTTCTGGGGATGATAGCAGAAGGGTGGGGATGGACAGAAAAAAGGTACAGTATTTCTAAGGGAAACTGAGGGCAATTGGACACTTCCCCCTAATGTGTGTATGTTCTGTGTCATGTTTCAGAGGACTGATCAAGACTCTGCCATCGGTGTGAGTCCAGCTGTTATGATCCGCAGCTCAAGTCAGGATTCTGAAGTTAGCACTGTGGTAGGGGAACACCACACTGGCATCTTGGTGGGTGGGGTATGGACTTCCCTTTTGGAAAAGGGATCTGCTTTCTCTTTGGAGGCTGTTTGTAGTCTCAGGTCAGCATGGTTCTCCCAGTGGAGATATTTGCCTGTCATAGGGGAACTTACATGAGATTTCACCCAGGGCTTCTCCTCATCTTATAAAGAAGGTACTTCCAGAGACTATCTGACATATACCTTTGAAATTTGATACTTTTTTATGATCACCAAAAGCTCTAATAGCTTGGCATTTCTGGAACCCATCTCTGGGGAATATCTCTTACTACCTTTTTTCCTTTCCAGGTGAGTAATAGTTCTGGAGAGACTCTTGGAGCAGACAGTGACCTCAGCAGCAATGCAGGTGATGGACCAGGTGGCGAGGGCAGTGCCCACTTGGCAGGCTCTCGGGGCACTTTGTCTGATAGTGAAATTGAGACCAACTCTGCCACAAGCACCATCTTTGTAAGCTTTATTTACTAACAAAAGACAGTTAATTTAGTGGGGGAGGAAAGTGGGTTAGAAATAAATGTAAAGGTAAGAGATAATAAGTGGGGCTCAGTGCCTGTAGCTCAGTGGTTAGGGTGTCGGCCATATGCACCGGGGCTGATGGGTTCAAACCTGACCCAGCCTGCTAAAAATAAAAAATAGCCGAGTGTTGTGGTGGGCACCTGTAGTCACAGTACTAGGGAGGCTGAGGCAAGAGAATCACTTGAGCCCACGAGTTTGAGGTTGCTATGAGCTATGACGCCATGGCACTCTACCGAGGGTGACATACTAAGACTCGGTCTCAAAAAAAAGAGATTAGGGTGGCACCTATGGCTCAAGGAGTAGGGCGCAGGAGGTGGCAGGTTCAAGCTTTGCGCTGGCCAAACTGCAAAAAAAAAAAAAAGATAATAATTGGGAATGGTTAAATAAGAAATTGATAATCCTTAAAGGAAAATGTTTCTTAAGGCCTTTTTACAGTCTTTTGACTCCATGATCTGCTTTTAAAACTCTTTCTTGAATCATTGATAAGTTAGGCTGCCTGCCCAGTGACATAAGAGCTTAAGATCCTATGATGTAATAACCCTAGGTTTAAAACAGACAAAATGATACTTTGGTGGCAATGTCAGGACAATTACAGCTTTCATTTAGTTCCAGTCTACCTATTTTTGTGGACTAGTCCGGTGTTACTCTGGTCATTGCTGTATTTATATAGCATCTTAAAATAATATTTTATTTTTGTATATTCCTAATGGTTATTGGAAGTTTTCATTCATTAATAAAAGTCTGTGAAGTGATTTACTGAGTACCAGATTCTGTACGAAAGAAATAGGTATGAATAAGGCATGATTCCCACTTTTAAGATGTTTGCAGTTCATTATATTGCTCTGTGAATGGTCTCTTCTAATAGGCAAGGGGAATGAAGTCTTAGGGAAAAGAGACTTCCCTAGATTAATTACACAATAAGCTCATGATCCACTGGAATGAGATGAATTCTTTTTAGTTCTTGCTTTAGACACACTGTGTTCCAGTATATACATGTATGTATGTGCCTCTTAAAACACTCTGATTCACTTCCCACTTTTTTAGAATGGGAGAATGAATATTCTTCATAGGAGCTTATAGGTCCCTCTCTTTGGTCTGTGGAAAGAATGAAAGATACAATTTTTAAAAAATTAATTATTTAACACTAGTGATGATCATTCCTACCCCCAGGGCTTTCTGTACATGTGTTTCTTTTTTTTTTGAGACAGAGTCTCACTATGTTGCCCTCAGTAGAGTGCCATATAGTGTCATAGCTCACAGCAACCTCAAACTCTTGGACTTAAGCTATTCTCTTGCCTCAGCCTGCCAAGTAGATGAGACTACAGGCGCCTGTCACAACACCCGGCTTTTTTTTTTTTTTTCTGGTTGCAGTTGTCATTGTTTAGCTGACCAGGGCCTGGTGTGAACCCACCATCCTCAGTGTATGTGGGCCAGCACCCTACACACTAAGCAACGGGTGCCACCCTATACATGTGATTCTAATAGAGCCAGTGACTTCTCAGAGTTAAAATTGGGATTAGGATTGAGAGTTAGGAGACCTATTCAAGTTAATGGGCCTTAACTGCTGAGTCTAACTAGGCTGTTTTATTTTTTTTTCTTTGTGCCAATAATTTATTGGGACTTATATGGGTAGACATAAGATCTCAAGCCTTTGGTAATGAAAGAGTTGACTCAAAGTAAATATTTTAAAAATTATGTCAAAGACTAATGAAGAAGTGACATTTACATGTAGTTTATAAGAGTCATTTGAGATTAATAATTTTTATTTCCCTCACAAAATGAATAGCTCATATACTAAAGAGGATATCTCTCCAAAAAAAAAAAAAAAAAAAAAAAAAGGACATCTTTCCTTAAGCAGGAGGAAATAAAGACAAATGGGATTATATCAAACCAAAAAATTAAGTAAGGCTCATGGTACAGTCTTTTTTTTTTTTTTTTGGCTAGGGCTGGGTTTGAACCCATCACCTCCCATATATGGGGCTGATGCCCCACTCCTTTGAGCCACAGGTGTCTCTCTCATGGTACAGTCTTAATATTACTTTTAATGAGGAAAATACCAAGATTAAGACACATAAAAATATCCGAGGAGTATTACATATTGTTACATTTGTCCTAGAACCTGAGAAGAATTCAGGGAAAAAGAATAGCTGATAAATTTAAGAAAAACTTTAAATGGAAAAGATTACATATAAGAGCATAGTCTGTTCCCTTAAGGAAACCAGTAACCCAACCAGACACAATGACTCACAGCTGTAACCTAGCATAGTGGGAGGCCAAGGCTGGACGATCCCTTGAGCTCAGGAGTTTGGGATCAGCATGGGATTAGGATTGAGAGTTAGGAGACCTATTCAAGTTAATGGGCCTTAATTCCTGAGCTGTTTTGAGATCAGCATAAGCAAGAGTGAGACCCTGTGTCTACTAAAAATAGAAAAAAAAAATTAGCTGAGTGTTATGGCATACAACTAATCCCAGCTACTGGGGAAACTGAGGCAGGAGATCACCACTTTAGCCCAGGAGTTTGAGGTTGCTGTGAGCTATGATGCCATAGTACTCTAGTCTGAGCAACAAGCTGATACCATACATAAGCAAAAAAGTCTTCAAATAATCAGCATGCAGCCCCCCTGGGCCACAGGTTGGACACCCCTGACCGAGGTATCTATTCAGCTCCTGTGCTCATTTTTTAAGTCAATTATTTGTTTATTTGCTATTGAGTTCTTTGAGTTCCTTGTATAGTCTAGATATTAATCCCTTGTCAGATGAATAGTTTGCAAATATTTTCTCCCATTTTTCAGGGTGTCTTTTTGCTCTGTTATTTCTGTCATACTGAAGATTTTTAGTTGGATGTAATCCCATTTGTCTAATTTTGCTTTTGTTGCCTGGGCTTTTGAGATATTTTCCCCAGACCAATGTCCTAAAGTGTTTCTTCTGTTTTCATATAGTAGTTTCATAGTTTTAAATCTTTAATCCATTTTGAGAATTCTGCAGAAAAGATACTTGATATGATTGCACTTTTATAAATTTTCTTAAGACTTGTTTTATGACTGAGATGTTCCACGTACTGACAAAAAGAATATGTATTCTTCAGCTTTTGGATGAAATACTCTATAAATGTCAAATTTAAAAAAGGTTTGTCTCTCCCTTTATTTTTTATTTATTTATTTTTTGAGATAGTCTCACTTTGTCTCCCTTAGTAGAGTGTAGTGGTGTCATACCTCACAGCAATCTCAAACTCTTAGGCTTATTCGATTCTCTTGCCTCAGCTTCCCGAATAGCTGGGATTACAGGCACCCACCACAATACCTAGCTATTTTTTGAGACGGGATCTCACTCTTGCTCAGGCTGGTCTCAAACTCATGAACTCAAGCTATCCAGCCACCTTGGCCTCCCAGAGTGCTAGGATTACAGGCATGAGCGCCCGTACCTGGCCCTATTTTGTTTTTGTTTTTTGAGACAGAGTCTCACTTTTGTTGTCGTTGGTAGAGTGCTGTGGCATCATAGCTCACAGCAACCTCAAACTCCAGGGCTCACATGATTCTCTTGGCTCAGCCTCCCAAGTAGCTGGAACTATAGGCACCTGCCACAATGCCTGGCTATTTTTAGAAATGAGGTCTCCCTCTGGCTCACGCTGGTCTCAAACCTGTGAGCGGAGGGAATCACCTCACCTCAGCCTCCTAGAGTGCTAAGATTATAGGCATGAGCCACTGCATCTGGCCCCCTAGTTTGTTTTTTAGAGACAAAGTCTACTCTGTCATGGAGGCTGGGGTATAGTGGCACTGTCATAGCTTATGGTAGCCTTGAGCTTCTGGGCTCAAGAGAAAGATCTTCCTGCCTCAGTCTCCTGAGTAACTGGGACTACAAACATACACCATCATACCTGGCTATATTTTTTTTATAAGAGTTGGGGTCTCAGGCTGTGAGCAGTGGTTCACGCCTGTAATCCCAACACTCTGGGAGGTCAAGGCGAATGGATTGCCTGAGCTTGCAGATTCGAGACCAGCCTGAGCAAGATCAAGACCCCATCTCTAGGCTCGGTGCCTGTGGCTCAAGTGGCTAAGGTGCCAGCCACATACACCCAAGGTGGCGGGTTCAAATCCCCAGCCCGGGCCCGCCAAACAACAATGA